TTTTTCTTTTTGAGCTGGAGTCTTGTTCAGACACCCAGGCTGGAGTGCAGTGGCATGATCTTGGCTCCCCGAAACCTCTACTTTTCAGGTTCCAGCAATTCTCCTGCCTCAACCTCCTGAATAGCTGGGATTACAGGTACACGCCACCACACCTGGCTAATATTTTGTATTTTTGTACTAGAAACGCGGTTTGACCATCCTGGCCAGGCTGGTCTCAAACTCCAGGCCTCATGATCTATGTGCCTTGACCACCTGAAGTGCTGGGATTGCAGGCTGGAATAGACCGTGACTGGCCTGGACCTGTTTTCACAAACACATCTCTACCTGCTGAGCCAGGGGATCACTCTTCACCCCCAAAGTATCGTACACTGCTGTACTCTATTTCATGGAGTTTACTCATTTTTTCATGTGTGTATGAATCTACCTGGGGATTTTCTTGAGTATAGGCCTGAAACTAAAAATCAGAGGCCATTTAATATAAGAGATGTAAAACTGCCTTCACCTCATGTTGCCATACTGCTGCTTTTTTGACTCTGTTTCATTCTTGTCCCCTGTCTCTATTGTAATTTGTATATTTAACCTTCGGTCAACATTTTACCCTTTGCTAAATTAGTTCCATTTTCCTCCAAGCTCAAAATTTGGTCTATACTGGTGGGATTATAATTCCACAGACGAGCATACACACAGTTGACTCCTGCATGCCCATTACTTCTGCCCTCCACCCTTGCCCTTCCTTTCCTGGTCTTGCCTCACATGCTACATTGATCTGGATGCAAAGTGCTGCTGCTCTCCAGCCTGTTCGTTTCTAATGGTGAACACTCCAACTTCCACATGAACCCCTCCCCTCCAACATGACTCTCAGTGTGTAAGTCAAGACCTTATACATCCACTGGACGTAATCATAGGAGGCTGCCTAAATCAGTGTGTGCAGGGCATGATGACTCCACATTCTCCATGAACTATGGCTCAATTTCACTGTCCGTGGCACAGCTGAGCCTTTGTATCCACCTTGATGTATTTCTTTCTGTCTCCTTGTATATTCTGCGACTGATGATTTTCTGTATTGCCTGGGTGACTTTTGTGCTTAAGAATGTGTCATGGGGTGCCGGGCGCGGTGGCTCAAGCCTGTAATCCCAGCACTTTGGGAGGCCGAGGCGGGTGGATCACAAGGTCAAGAGATCGAGACCATCCTGGTCAACATGGTGAAATCCTGTCTCTACTAAAAATACAAAAAATTAGCTGGGAATGGTGGTGCGTGCCTGTAATCCCAGCTTCTCAGGAGGCTGAGGCAGGAGAATTGCCTGAACCCAGGAGGCGGAGGTTGCGGTGAGCCGAGATCGCACCATTGCACTCCAGCCTGGGAAACAAGGGCGAAACTCCGTCTAAAAAAAAAAAAAAAAAAAAAAGAATGTGTCATGGGATCCATAAGGCCCAGGATCAAGTTTTGTCCCTTAGTTACCAACCGTATAAATTGGGTCAAGTACATGAATACTGTGGACCTGCTGTGCTTATTTGATAAGTAATACTTTGCCCCTATGTTCTTTTTTGATATGGAGTTTTTCTGTTGTTGCCCAGGCGGGAGTGCAGTGGCACAATCTTTGCTCACTGCCATCTCAGCCTCGTGAGTTCAATTAATTCTAATACCTGAGGCTCCGTAGAAGCTGGGATTAGAGGCATGCGCCACCACACCTGGCTGATTTTGCATTTTTAGTAGAGATGTGATTTCTCCATGTTGGTCAAGCTGGTTTTCAACTCCCGACCTCAAGCGATCCATCTACCTGGGCCTTTCAAAGTATTGGGATTACAGGTATGAGCCACCACGCCTGGCTGCCTCCAGGTTTTTGAAACAAGTTAATTAGATGTCTTCACATATTGAAAGTTTTATAGTACAGATTCTAAACTTTCTTTGTTTCATAAGATTTGTCAGCCTTCGATGATGTTGATGATGAGATGCCCATTTCTGTATCTCAGTCATTTCACTGTCCTGTCAGAAATAGCTTTGAGTGGCTGGCTGTAGTGGCTCATACCTCTGTTCCTAGCACTTTGGAAGGCCGAGATGGTTGGATCATCTCAGGTGAAGAGTTTGAGTCCATTCGGGCCACCATGCTAAAACCTGGAATCTACAAAAAATTGACTGGGTATGTTGGCTCACAGCTGTAATCCCACCGCTGTGGTAGGCCAAGATGGGCAGATAACCTGTGGTCAGGAGTTTGATACCAGCCTTGCCAACATGGTCAAACCCCATCTCTACTAAAACTACACAAATTAGCTTGGTGTGGTGGCATGCACTTGTAATCCCAGCTACTTGGTAGGCTGAGGCCAAAAAATTATTGGATCCCAGGAGGCGAAGGTTGCGATGAGCCTAGATCATGCCACTGCACTCCAGCCTGGATGATGGAGTGAGGCTCTGATACACACACACACCCATATACACTCATGCGCACACGTGCACGCGCACACACACACACACAAACTCACTCTCTCTCTTTCTCTCTCAGCCAGTCTGTAGTGCCAGCTACTTGGGAGTCTCCAGCAGGAGAAATTTAGGCAGGACAATCATACCATTACACTCCAGCCTGGGTGATACAGCGTGACTCAGTCTCAAAAAAAAAAAAAAAAAAAAAACTAGGTTAAAGTTGGAAGCTTAAGACACGGAGATTGATTTATTTTGAATTTAGAATGTGAGAAATCCAAGAGCAAGGTGCAGCCAAATTGGTTTCTGGTGAGAGTCTTCTTTGTGATTTCACCCAAGCATCTTCCTGCTGTGTTTTCTCATGGTAGAAAGAGGAACAGCAACAAGCTCTTTAGTGTCCTTTTAATAAAAGCACTAGTCCTCGCCAGGAGCTGTGGAGTTTATGTTTTGTAGACGTCTCTTCCAAATGCATAATGAAGAAGTTTTCATCAGCAGGGCAAGGCAATACAGAAGTGTTCCACACAGGGACATTGTCATCACATTGGGGTTTTTCCCTTCAGGAAATTGAGAAAAATATTCATGACTTTGAGTTTCAATGGCAAGAAGATGAAAGAAATAACCATGAAGCACCCAGGACAAAAATAAAAAAGCTGACTGGTAGTACAGACCAATATGATGAAAGGCGTGCTGGAAACAAGCCTATTAAAGATGAGCTTGGAGTAATCTTTCATTCGCATCTTCCTAAACTTCACATATTTCAGACTGAAGGGAATGTCGGTAATCAAGTTGAGAAGTCTGTCGATGATGCTTCCTTAGTTTCAACATCCCAAATAATTTTTTGTATAGCCAAAACCCGTATTTCTAATAACCATGACAGTAATTTCCTCCATTCTTCATTACATGTGTACAGAAACAGGAAGGTACACATGAGAGAAAAATCTTTCCAATGTCATAAGTGTGGGAAAGGCTTTAATTGTAGCTCATTCTTTTCATTTATTTTTTATTCTTTTTTTTTTTCTTTTCAGCCAATGGCAACCTCAATTGTAGCTCATTCTTAAGGAAACAGATAAACCATTTAAGAAAGAAACAATATGAATGTGATGTGTGTGGCAAGGTCTTTAATGAGAAGCAATGTCTGGAAAGACATCATAGATGTCACACTGGTGAGAAACCTTACACATGTAATGAGTGTGGCAAGATGTTCAGTCACAAGTCATGCGTTCTACGGCATCGCAGAGTTCATATAGAAGAGAAAACTTACAAGTGTAATGAGTGTAGCAAGACCTTCCGTCAGATGTCATCCCTTACCTGCCATCTTAGACTTCATACTGGAGAGAAACCTTACAAGTGTCATGAGTGTGGCAAGACCTTCAATCAGAAGTCATCCCTTACATGCCATCATAGACTTCATACTGGAGAGACACCTTACAAATGTGAAAAATGTGACAAAGGTTTCACTCGCAAATCACACCTTGAAATGCATAAGATAATACATACTGGACAGAAACCATACAAATGTATGGTTTGTGATAAGGCTTTTGCATGTGATTCATACCTGGCAAAACACGCTAGAATTCACACTGGAGAGAAACCTTACAAATGTAATCAGTGTGGCAAGACCTTCAATCATACGTCATCCCTTACACGCCATCATAAACTTCATACTGGGGAGAAACCTTACAAGTGTCATGAGTGTGGCAAGACCTTCCGTCACATGTCCTGTCTTGTATACCATCGTAGACTTCATACTGGAGGCAAACCTTACAAGTGTAACGAGTGTGGCAAGGCCTTCATTCAAAAGTCACGCCTTACATACCATCGTAGACTTCATACTGGAGAGACCTTAAAAATGTAAGCTTTGTGACAAGGCTTTCTAGCGTGATTCATACCTGACACAAACTACTAGAATTCACACTGGAGACCATCCTTACAACTGTAGTGAGTGTCGCAGACCGTCAGTAGTAATTCATCACCTGTAATTGACAACCTGTCACGCCTGCCTTGTACAACAACTATCCCCCTCTCCAATGTGAAGACCCAGTGTGCCCGCCCCCCGCCCCCCAGCATCATCTTCTCCTTTTGTGTGCGTTTCATTCTAATATGACTTAGGACTGTTCCTTACCAGAATACTCCAAAACTTGAGCCCTCCTTCATGCATGTATTTAAGGTGGCCACATCGGGGTCGCTATTTGCAGAGCTTATAGTTTGCAGTGAATGCCAAGAATGAAGTAATGAGACAGTTTCAGCTGAACAGGGCTAGGTGGTAGCTCTTCCAAGAAAGTCTGCCCAAGCATTTGTTTACCAAGTATTTATTGAAAGGGCTTGTATTAACTACAAACATTCAGGAGATGGCATTTGATGTGGCCTGCTGAGGCATCTGTGACCT